TGAAATATTCCTTTTATCAATTAATCATTATCACTTCATGATCAACAAGAAGCATTTAAAATTTTATTTTTAAATTTAAAAAAAAAATGGATCATCAACATACAACAATAACAAATCCATCCTCAACATCAGCATCAACATCTTTAAAAACACCACAAGATTATATTAAAGAATATGAATTAATACTATTAAATAATCCTAATGATTATTATACTTGGGAGAAGTATATTAAAGTATTAGAAATTGAAGAATCTAGTGATAAAGTATTAAAAGGCTATGAAAAATTTCTTGAACAATTTCCATTATTATTTGGATATTGGAAAAAGTATGCAACATTAACCTATCAAGTAACACAATCCTATGAAAAGACAATTCAAGTCTATGAAAAGAGTGTTGATAAAAAGACAGGTATATTTAATAATCCAGATTTATGGGCAAATTATTGTTTATTTGTTGCTGAACAATCACCTGATGTTAATGAAATTAGAAATTTATTTGAAAAGGCTATTCAAATTATTGGTAATGATTATTATGCTAGAACTTTATGGGAAAATTATATTGAATTTGAAATTTCACAAGATGAATATGAAAAAGTTGTAAAATTATACAAGAGAGCAATTCAAGTACCATGTAGAGATTTAACTTTAATTTGGTCTCAATTTAAAGATTTTTTAAAAAAACATTATGATAATATTACTACAGTTCAAATACAAGTATTAATAATACAAGTAGTGTGGTGTGTGGTGGTGTTGGTGATGGTAATAGTATTAATAATACTACTAATAATAATACTACTGATACATTGTCATCATCATCAAATGTAGATGTAAATTCCAATCAAAATGTTAATATAAAACAAATAATACAAACAAGTGAAGAAGAAGCAATTTATCAACAATCACAAAAATTGAATGATTTAACAAGTTATTGGAGAGAACAATTATATATGCCAACTAAAAAAGAATTGGAAAGAATTCGTTCATTTGAAGATTTAATACGTAGACCATATTTTCATCCACAACCATTTCAAGATTATGAATTGGAACATTTTAGAAAATATATTGAAAATGAAAAGAATGAATATTATCAAAAACAAAACAAGTGGTGTGATCAAGAACATTTAATTCAAACATTTGAAAGATTTATTGTTTATTGTTCTTATTATATTGAATTTTGGAATTTATATTTTAATTTTTTAAAATCTGAAAATTTAAATTTAAATGAATTATATG